AACTCCTCAAAGAATGTGACATATCTCTATGCTACTGCTGAGCTGGAAGGTGGTCAGAGGTGAGCCACAGATCCAATCTGGTCTCTGAAGGTCTATGATATTGATAGAACACTGGTGAATAAGAATGAGCCTGTTCTCTATTACCTGAAAGATGGACCAAAGTGTGGTTTCATCAGAGAAGAGCTTCAGATTGTTCCTCCTGGAACTGAGTTACCTCCTGAAGGAATTTATTAATTTGAAAACACCAAGAAAGAAATGAGTTTCTTCATAGACCCAAGCAATTCTGGGAATCAATTCAAGAAACTGATGAAGATATGAACAATCAAAAGATCATCAATCTTGCCAATCCAACTGACCACCAAGACACAGTGACCAAGATTAGTATGTTGATTAAAAAACAGAAACAATACATTAATTCTCTTTTTTGTCAAAATATGCTCCCAGAAGTCTCTTCATTGAAACATTCATTACAGAAAAAGCAATGTGCTGGTACCACACAGACCGCAACTCAAACAGTGAATTACTTTGTTGAAATAACTTTAGTGTTACTACTTTCGATCAATCAGGAATGAACAACCATGCAATACAAAAAAAATTCACTCAGACCAAAAATATCAACTTAAGTAAAGCATGGAAGATACTTCTCCTTTTTCAATGAAAAGAGGCATTTGATCTTCCTTTTATCAATAATCTTAAACTCTTAAATGTCTTAAGTGTTATCAAGATATATATAAGAAAAGTTTAAATGGAACAACAATCTATACAAGAAACTGTTTGATTGGAAATGGATTCATTCAAAACTTCTCTCTTTCTCTTGAAAAAGATAGAGAAGTTGTTGTTGATGGAACAATACCAAAATCAGGACCACAAGAACCATTCACTGTTGTTTGAGTAAACACAAAATTATATAATATACAAAGAAAACCAGATTTTAAATTAAATGTTTCTATTGATGTCAAACCTTCAGCAGGATTCAAGAGAAAAGCAAACCCAACAGGCGCAAAATGTAATAGGGTAGTTTGTCAAGGAGGAAAGTGGAAAATTAACAGCTGTTGCTAGAATATGGATATGGCGATGCTATAATATGCTCTTGTTCTGTCTGGTGTAATGGGAAAACACTTCTCAACTTTAGTGCAAGCGGAATTAGCTAAAGTAATTATGTATGGGGCAATTTTTCAAAACAAGATGGAGATGATTTTCAGGAAGGTTTAAACTCAGACAGTCATAATTCTCTCATTTACATAGACACTCTTATGACAGAAGAACAAATAAAGGCACACCACGACTTCCTCATAAGAAGATACTACATTAATGCTGATCCTGTCGAATAAAACCATGAAGCATGCTTGCATGTGCAAAGACTTTGAATTTCACAGGTGATGTTTTGAAATTCAGGTGTATTCATGTCCGATATAGCAAAGGCATGAAATCTTCACACAGACAATCAACACCCTGATGGCAAGACAAGAGAATTGTTCAAGGTGATAATATTCACAACTTCATCAAAATTCATGAGTGAGACATTGTCAATATTATTTATCTATGAAAAATTCAAGTTGCCTTGAAATCAACCTTGATTTGAAAATGCACAAAAACTGTTGTTTGAAATCAAAGTTGATTTCAAGGATGACTTGAAATCAAGGTTAAAATTCATGAGTTGACTTGAAATTCTAGGTTGTTTTCAAAATGAGCCAGAATCCCTTTTCCTCTCTCTGCTTATGCAATTTTGCTGTCTTTGAAAAATTTACTTGTGCTTATTAACACAAAATTGCACTCACAATCATGTTGTTACTTTTACCAATACACTCGGACACTTGATCAAAATTTATGATAGACTTAATTTTAGGCAAGCTTCCCGCAGCTCCAGGCTAGTAAATCTTGGTAATAGCTTGCCCTAAGGGCAATCTGATTTGTTTATTATCATTTCACTCTGTTAATTATCACAATACTGGCTAAACTCCAAAACACATTCAAATGAAACAAAGATTCGAATCCAAAGAGGGTCAAAGTTGAATATTTAAGAATGTCTGCATTTAGAGAAACTAATAGAACACAAGTCTAACGAAAACTCTGAGAATAATCATTGCTCATTGTCGTACAAGTTAAACTGAGAAGACTGACACTGTGCAAAATCTAGTTCTCTAAGAGCAGTTAATTACCACTAAACCTTTAGAAACTTATTTCACTGTATTCGAACACAAGTTATTTCAAAACTGCTAAAACAAACAAAATAAATTTGAGCAAATTGTTCTGCAGTAAGAAATCAATGGTCACATAAACAACAGCCAAAGGAAAAATGATCAATAGTTATTAAATCCTTAATAACCAATACAGCTCTTGAATGTGAACAATTGGCAAATTGGCAGATAATTGTAAGTATTTTAACATTTTCTAGCCACTTTAAATTTTCTCCAAAAAATTTGCATTGAAAACAGCTGTTTTTATGACCATAACTCAACCCACCATCCCCTACTTGTGCGCGATTAACCTTGTAATTTATGTCCATATAATGTAATTGATTGATTGCTCGTACCAAGATAGCACAGACGAACACACCCTGAAATTATTATTATTGCATTGTTGTCATATTGAATTTCACGTTATGGCAATAGGTTTCGAAAGCAGGTCAGAAAAACAAACATGCAACCCTCCTCAAAATCCCTTAAGAGCACATGAAATGTCGTTTAGAAATATATTTTTCTGGTGATTGTCACAAAGCGCAGACTTTCAGGGCAAGTTGATGCATGGAAGATTCGTGACATGGACTTGTGCCCTTCAACTGTAAAGACAATTATAAACCGTTTGTTGTTTAAAGTTAAATCTGACAGCCCCAAAATGACTCTTCGATCGATGCAGTGCTCACAACCTAACAATTCTTTCAAAAAAGTGAAATTAATGATAAAATATATATAAGTTTATATGTAAGCACCACCGTGTGAGCGAAGTATTTTTAGTCGAATTAATCGGGCGATCGAACATTCAGTTACTTTGGTAGATATGCAGGCGTTTGTATTTGCTAAATCGACCGCTTTAGAGAAAATATTCTTGCTGGCAAATATCTTACAAAGGTATTATTATAATAAGAATTGGTACAGCGGAACAAAAGACATTGCAGAGGAAAATTAAAATAAGCTTAACGCTATATGATATTATCAAAGAATTCGACGCAGGAACGCAGGTTTAAAACGCATAATAGTTAATAGATAAGCTTATAATTTAAAGCACTTGTATTGTATTTTTCCATTTACTGAAAATCATGTTAAATACAAGTTTTCGTGCGCATTTCAACCCACAAGTCCCTTCATTAGCATGTTTGAAAAACAACTTGACGAGATCCAAAGGAAGTGTAGAAACTTCACTTACCTTTCGAGTCAGTTCTTCGAAGCTACACACTTATTTACAACCTTTGAATCACAGTGACTAAAGGAATTGAATACAGCCACAAAGAAGATTATGACAGAAGCGATTCAATGGACGAGGCAACTGCAAATTCCAGTCATCGGAATAACTTATATATAAACCAGCCTGAGTAAATACTTGAAAACAAGCGTGTCACTCTGGTACAAAAATACATGACGTCATCACCAATCAGCACGAAGCATGGCACGTGTCATCCAGTTGTTTGTTTCGCTGTGATTACAAACCGCAGTAATCCGCAAACAGAAATAACCCCCTGCCGCTGTATTTTATTTATAGAAATAATATTAAAATGATTTACAACTCTAAGACGAAAAGTCATTCAAATCTTTTTTCCTTAATAAACCATTTCAAAAGTTGTAACAGACATCTTCAGACTATCGATCCTAAAAGCTGGCTGCTGTCTTCTTTACTTTTTACTTTGAGAAACATCCTTAAGAAAAATACCGCTCTGCTGTTTCCGTTGTGCCACTCGTCACATTTTTGTTGGCACAAATTGCGACTGATGGTGGAAAGAAAGAAATATTCAGTACAATTCCCTTCTTAAACAGAAATCTGTTTCCACAACTTTTTTTTCTAACAGATAATTTTCATGGTACCCTACCGCTAAATCATTCCCTTTAAGTAGACATTATCAGTAACGAGTTCCCCTCCCTTCCAAGAACACCGGCGAGGTGTGCCAAAAATCAAATTTGTTTTTTCCTTGAGCATAAACAGTGGGGGGTAATTGGCGCTAATAACCCATCGAGTTTCCGTGTTTAAGCTTTTGTTTTGTTTTGTTTTTTTTTATTTAATTTTCTTTCTAGTCCCTTTTACTCCGCCCTTTTTAAAGATTCTTTGTGCATTCACGCGCGAGAGAAGAAGACACGTGTAGTCATATTTCAAGCCTCCTACTCGAGGGAAGTTGGGGGGAGTAAGATGACTTTGATGACTGTTTCGATAAAAAATGACCACTTTTGAAGCTATCCCGCTATCTCAGAGTAACTTAAGAGTAATTTTTCTTGATCTCACCGAGAGACATAGTACCTCTCTAATGTAAATGTTGTTTTTATTTTTCTAATCCGCGGTCCCTTCGAACGACCTCATCCAGCGACCCCC